ATGGCTGCTTTTGCGTCGTAATGATTAGCCTTCACCAAAGCATCGGAGCTGTACTATGCACATCGGCTTTCCCACAGTCTAGTTGGCAGTTGGATGACGGTGAGCAGCCTATCTTCAATTGTTTTCTTTGTGATAGAGTTGGGTTTTGAAGTTTTCTATCATCTCCTTTTGGTGATGCCCAGCATTTTAAAACAGAGAAGGTTATATTTTGTTTTATACATCGGAGCAAAATTAATCGACTGGTGCCTTTTGATTAGCCGGTTCAGGCAAAAACGTATACTTGTCATGGAAATCTCTCTTATGTGACTTTATCAAAGGTTAAAAAGCATTTAGGCAGTGATGCAGGCGGGTTACTTATGTGTTTTTAAGCTAGAAGCCGAAAGTTGGTACCATGGAAGCCGTTGCTAACTTTGCTTTTTGTCATCTCGACCATTAGCCTTGCAACTGACGTCAACAGTCTCCAGAATCTCACGTGACGCGCAGTCCGCTGCCTGACGGGGCCCTTTAAGTTGGCCTTACTGGACCATTGTAAACGAGCCCAAATTCCGGAAAAGCTTACTTTTTTGGAACACTCACGTTGCAAAGCCTCACTTCAGTGTTTCCTGACCACAGCATCCAGCCTACAAGCATAAAGTTGTCCTATTTAACCATTTATCGGCCTTTCTTACTGATAACCTTCACGAATTTCGTTTGATATCCTGCCTTACAGAAATTCAAAGTCGACTGTCGTTGGATGACGTCATCACATGGTGTGTAGGACTGTACTGACCAAACTACAGGTGCTACGCTCAGCCTTTCACCTCTCGCGAACATTTGCGCGAGAGCACAACTTTCTACTGGCTGCAGTCTAGTCTGGAAAATCATCTTCAAGGCTGAATCACGCAGGACCTCGCTGTGACCACTGCTGTGTTCTCATACTTCGGACGCTGACCTCACGGATTGTCATGTTCTCATCCGATTATCAGCTTCCTGCCACCTATCTTTCACTATTTCTGTACAGAATACACTATTCCTCCCACCTAGTGTCTCACCTCTCTTCCAGCACGGAACCGGGCCTGAAGACCGCAGCGACTGGGATCTTCCCTATTAATTTAAGCCAGTGTGATAAGATTTCTAGACAATGAATATTATCGTGCTCCTTCCCCAATGGCCGGCATTTTCTGAGATCTGTATGGTTGGCATTTGTTCACGGACAGGGTTTTTTTTGCCTGAGGAAATCTCTTAGCTCTGTTAAGGGTTTTCATTCTGCCTTTACGTGTTTTCAAATGAGGTAACAGAAAGTTAGCATGGAAGTAAGTTGTTATTCCAGGGGATTGGATCACGCTTCAAATATCCCTGTATGGGATAGTGGCAATGCAACGGGGACTCGCAGACTCATGGAGTAAGCAGTATTCAAATTATTACTGAATCTATGTTAAGTACATATACCTGATTCGACAAAAGTGGTTGTGGGGACATGGTTTTTATTTTTCAAACCTTATCAAGACCTCTGTATAGTTGAATGTATATTTGCCTGTCATAGATGTTATTATATTATTTTCAA